GGGGGGGGCGGGGCGGCCCGGGGGGGCGCCGGGGGGGTCGGGGGGGGTTTGGGGGGCGCCTAGGCGGTCTGGTCGGATCTAGGCGGCCTGGGCGGTTCTAGGCCAGTCTGGGAGCCAGGGCGGGTCGTGTCCTTTTTTGTTTCCAAATGAAGACAACGGAAGACCCGGCCATGACTTGATCTCTGCCTTGTATTCTCTGCGACACTTCAGAATCAGAGATGAGCTTATTGTCTATCAGTCGCTCTAGATTCTTCCTTCTTAAAACTAGTTTGACCTGTGAATAAGGATATTAATCTTCCCTTTTAATTAGGGGGTGTGTTTACTCTCGCCAACATTTGGTCTGACCTGGGTTTGTGTAAAATTACATGCAAAATAAAGAGAGGAAGAAAAGAAGAAGAAAAATGTACCAATTACTTTGCAGCTAATAAGAAGTTTCCTCGTCTCTACAACTGTAATGGAGTCACCAACGTAACGTGTTTATTTTAAACTCGAATATGTTCTCTCTATTTGCTTATTGCACGTCATATTTTCCAAGTTGAGAAATACAGCATGCCGAATTTGAAGTCCTTGAATCACATCTCATTGGTGTGCAGATCAGTTGAGAAATCCCTTGATTTCTACCAGAGTGTTCTTGGGTTCTTTCCAATTAGGAGGCCTGGCTCCTTCGACTTTAATGGTGCATGGTATAATTCTTAAAAACTTGGAAAACCAACATTTCTTTCCAGCTCTCTCTCTAGCTCTTTTATTCATTATTGTATGCTTATATATATAACGTCCGCATAGGAGAATTTATGTATATATATATCTTCTATATGTGTACAGCATATTTGTGATGTGAAAATGACTAGAAATACATTTGAATTGTTTTTAGTGTGAGAGCATGGTCACAGTGGAGAAAAATTTGAAGGAGATGGAGATAGAGTACGTGAAGCGCAGGTTGGAGGAGGGTGGAATCTAAGTTGTTCAGCTTTTCTTCCATGACCCTGATGCCACTATGATTGAGATCTGTAATTGTGACAACCTTCCTGTAATACCCCTCGCGGGAGAGCCAGTCAGGCCCTGCACATGTGTCAATTGCAATGCCTAGAAACAACAACAGCAGCAGCAGCAGATGGCATGCCTCCCTTCCATACACATCAAGGAAGATTACCTTCCTTGTTCATAAATTGTAAGGTGCGGATCAGTACATGTGAAAATTTGATTAACCAACTTGAAAACTTATCTAGTTTTTAATTTTTAGTTGATAGCCTGAAATCGTGTGTGTTTTAACTTTTCTAGCTGTCTTGATTGAGTAACCAAATATGAAAATGATCTTACATATAAGAGCAAGGGAAACCAAAAACATGAGGCATAAACAGATAATATATAAGCTGGCAGTAGAAACGAAACTTACCCACCACATCACAGGATGATGAGGACATCTGCTTAAATGAAAACAGAAGAACTGGGAGCTCCCTTCAGTCCAAAACATAGAGCAAGTGCATCTCATCATCTCATAGCCATGCTGTTCGGTTTTGGGCTGCAAGGAGCACCCATTTCTGCAATTTCCCCATGAAGTCAAGGAGGAGAAGAAAGACAAAAATTGATGGCAATGGCGCATGTTCCAGCTATATATTTTGAACTTAAAGGGGCAGATGAGCTCAAACTATTGCAGTAGAATAGAATGGCTCATGACTTGGTTCAAGCTCTTCAACCACTCTTTCTAAAACATAAATGCTTGCATGACAGCAACAAAATGAAATACAATACAAGCATTGATTTGATGCATAGAAAATTATACGAAGAAAAAAAAAACACATAAATTGTGTAATTAGGAGAATATAATTTTAATTTTTACCATGGATGAATGCCTAGCATGCATTGATTAGAAGAAAGAACTGGGCACCATGATGACTTGATGAGTGACATCTAACTGACAAGAGAATCTTCAATAACATACAAAGGTAAAGGTGACAACAAGTTTTCAATTGTTTCTCAAAAACAGTAAAGTAATTCCCAAGTGTGGATGCTAACTAACTACACCTCAGGTTTCTTTTTCTTCTTCCTCTTTAAGGAAATGAAATAATTCCCCACATTAGTCATATGAAACATGTTCTTTGCATCCAACATTAATTTCTTACTTTCTCTTAACTGTTTCATTGACTTTATTCATCACCTACTCTGACTCTCACTTCAATTTAGTATCCTATTGAATACGCACTATTCAATCATTTTCTTTTACGTCGTGTTTGGTAATTGGGATTGAATTGGATTATTTATTCCTCTAAAACCTCACAATCATGCAGTTTTTTTCTGTCTCTTTCTCTGCTAGCCTAACCTATTTCTATCTACTTAAATTCCCTTCTGCTTGAAATGTTGATGTAGCAATTATTTTTGAGTTGCTTTGAGTGGTAATATGGATGGCTTGGATTATATAAGAAGCCCACATTCACCAAAATTTCAAATCTCAGATCCTCAAGGCCTCACTCACACACATCACACACTGTTTATGAATGTATGAGAATGAGACTTAGGGCTCCCCTTGCTACAGGACCCTCTCACTGAAAGGTCTGTTTGTTTAGCTTTTAGCCCACAAATATGTCCTTTGGATATGGGAGCCTGACTGGTGAGTCATGGAAACAACCAGAAGACAAAGCAATAATACAGCAAAATGCAAGTTACATACAGCCGGGCGGCTATACTATTTAAATATATTATTTTGAAGGTATAGCCGACCGGCTATACACAATATTTTAAAGGTATAGACGGGCGGTTATATTTTTGGATATACTCCATCCAATCTCATCTCATTAAATGTAACATCATTTGGATATACTCCATCCAATCTCATCTCACTAAATAGAGAGATGGCATCTTCTTATTGAAATCATAGTTGTCCAAGACACTACGTTGCGATCATTCATGCACTGCAAGACATTTTGCATCTTCAGTAACCTCACACTTTGACTATGTCGAGATCAATACATTACAAACTGAAACATGATTTCCATATCCTGATTTAATTGTCAAGCCATGTATCTGTTTCCCAAGTTCTAAATTCATTTCATGACCGCAAGCTGAAACTGCAAAAGTAAATGAGACATGATCTAACCCCATCCCTTCTCCCACCATCTCAATAAAGACAAAAATCGCCTCAAGCCCATGATTTCCCTCTTGAGAGTAACCTGATAGTATTGCATTCCATGAAACCAGATCCTCATTCGCCATTTCATCAAACACGTTCCTAGATTCTACTAACCGCCTCTACCTCGAATACATACTTATAAAAAAACTTCACCATCTAAACCAGACTTAAATATAAGAGAATGCAGTTGTAATCCAAATAGAAAATCTTCATGATCCGCACAAAAAGCAAGAATCGTAGTTTAAGTCACTGGATAAAAAAAAACTCCATTAAATTCATCCTAAGAGCAAAATTCAATGCACCCTCATTCCAAACCCGGAAAGAATAGTATTCTAAGAAACTATATCAGTATAGCAGAGTCTCAAAAATAAGTAAGGGACCATCAAACTGGCCAGCTTTGGTGTACACGCTCATCAAAGAATTTGGCATACGAAGCAAACCCAGAAGAAACTGCAAACCCGTGAATTTGGCATCCGGGTTTGGGGTCCCCTTGACAGGCCTTGATAGCAAGGGTAATGGTAACTTCATCGTGTTCGTTTCTCTGTCTCTTCATTTCACTCGCGCACCACATTCCTCTGCGAGTGCAAACTTCGTCTGTCTTCATTTGGAACAAAATGGAGGCGGCCAGACCCCCCCAGGAAACCTAGGCGCCGCCTAGACCCACCAGAGCAGCCTCGACCCGCCTCATAGTGTAGCCGCTTGGCTATACCCTAAAATATTCGAATATAGCCGGACGGCTATCAAAATAATACATTTAAATAGTATAACCGCTCGGCTATATACTAAAATATTCGAATACATTCAGAGGATATCGCCGCACGGCTATACCGTCAAAATAATATATTTAAATAGTATAGCCGAACGGCTATAGTGAACTTGCATTTTGCTCCATTATTGCTTTGTCTTCTGGTTGTTTCCATGACTCACCAGATCTTGATGGTTAATTTTCACTCAATTATATGACCCTTTTGTATATGCAACCTTTCTTTTTCCTTTTTATTATAAACGTTAAACGAGAAGATTATAGGTGGTGATGGGCAAAGGGAACCCATACATAACCTTTTGTTATCGTTCACATCAAAACTTCATTTGTATGTTGCCTCAAGATGAATTTCCTTTTTTTTTTTTTTTTTTTTTTGAAATTTGGTTACAGAACTTCTTAACCATTATGAGTTACTTTTGAAGTTTGACATGTACAGATTCAAGCCTTCAAAGTGAGGGCCTTGAGAAGGAGTCCATTTTCAGTGTTTTTGCCTCCCACAAGTTCTCTCTCAAAATTTTCATCTCTAATCCTAGACATTTTGCCATTCTACATATCTCCCCAGACTGTGGGTGGGATGTATCACCTGATGAAAACCCATGCAGATACAAGGAACCATCAGCATCACCATTATCCACCCAACTATATCCCACTTCCTTTCTCACTCCTTTATCTCTCATCCCTTTCCTAACTTTTGCTACCATTTCCCAGTCCCCTTTCTCAGCATACAAAAAGATCATTTTCGTAATCTATATACTGATCAGGCGTATGTATTAGATTATAGATATTGGTTTGTACCAGCACATTGGCATGGGGTGTAAACCTTCTAGGTCATCATCTGGTCATTATTAAGGTAAGGCAAAATTTGTGCGGTATCTTTTTCATTTGGTTCCTATATTCACAAAGGTTTCTAGCCTGAATATATTGCAGCAGCTGTTCTTCAGGACAAATTTACGT